TCAAACACTTTGTTTACGATTGTTGAAAGGACCGACTCATGGTTCTCCGTCTTTACATTGCTTTAAATTAGTATAGATTAGTAAGCTGAAACGAAAAATTAATCGGGGAAGTTTACGAAAAATCCAGCAAACAAGCTTAAAAAAGGCTTTTATTTAGACTTCATACTTCAACGAACTTCACAAATCTTACTTTTTTATCTTGTAAGTAAACGATGGCAGGTTAATTCCCGAAGCGCTTTCTGAGTTTCCCGATCCCTCTCCTATTGCTTTCATGCTTTACAAAACAGGAAAAAATCAAAAGGAGGGAGATACAGCTGTTTTGAAACGCCATTTGACGAGGGTAAATCTGCTTTTTGTCCGACACTTTACATATCAAAAGAAAGGAAATTTGTACCTCTTTTTGATTCTGGCGGTACATTTTTAATTTGCGCTTGCGTAAAAGAGATATCGCCCGAGACCCTTCGCTCGGTCGTGTTTTGATCAAAAACGCCTTGTTAATTTCACGCAACCGCTCGGAGAAAAGGTAAAAATGACGAGGGAAAAACTTTACCTTCAAGTTAGAAAATTAGCGAAATAGAAAGCCACAATATTATAGTTTAATATTTCAGAGGTACATTGAGCGCTTTTTCCGTAGAGAATCCGCACGATGGTAAAACATTCGAAAATTACACTCGATTTGAGTGGGGTGTTGAAGTGGGCGTGGTCACTTCATTCATGTTAAGACTATTTGTACCCCATGAGTTTGATATGTGTAAGGAAATATGTGGCCGAAGGTTTTTTCGACATCCAAAAAAAAAACCATTTTGGAGAGAGATCGATGATTTTTCGCCGCATTTTTATTAAAAATAGTTAGACAATGTTAATAAGAGGGAACTGTAAGATTTTGTCATAGTTACCACGAAATCATCTGTTATAAAATATACCGAAGAACTTCTCTCCTTGCCTAAGGTCTATTAAAAAAAGAAACATATAAAAATGATTGCTTGAGGGCCGTAAGCAATTCCAGGTGCAGGGCCTGAGAAGGCTTCACGTCCGCTTGAGATGTGGGCTGAAAGAGGAAAATAAGAGAAGGAAAGATTGGCAGTTACGTGTGCTGGCTTAGGTTGCGCCGGACGGCAAAATCGTTGGCTTTTGGGAAAGAAACAAGTTTGGAACCTTAACAAACTGATTTTATTTTCCTTAGTGTATTTAGGTGAAACGGTTACTTTCTTAACCCTTTAATTCCAAGATCTCATCAGTAATTCTCCTAACTGTCTGCTATATACTTCTTGCGATGTTAGTACGGAGAATTTGGTATTGGATCAACTAATAATCCCCTAATTAATATTTTTCATTATTCTCATCACTTGTCTGCTTGATATTGTACTGATATTGTAAAGAGAAATCCTGTCTTGTTGACTCATGGAAGTTAAAGGGTTAAGGAGCGAAGCGAAGGGAAATTTTCCAAATTTTGTTGGTTTAGATATACTGGACCTGAGCCTGGCACTCAACTTGCAATCCAGGAATTTTGACGGAAAAACTGAACTAAAGAGAAGGCGGTATTGATGACATTACGGATTACAATTCCAGCGAAAAATTCTCTTTTCTGTATAGTTGATTTCATTTTCATTCATGGTATTGTGATTACTTTCAGAGGAACACTCACTAGCGAGGACGTGCATTGGAACATCAAGCTAGGGGCTGTACATCTAGCCTTCCCTCGTGATGCTGTATCTGAGCTCACCCTGATAACGGTCCATCGATGGAAACCCACGGTCCTGTCCCCGCCTTTGCAGGAGCACGAGGCTCTCGTTAGCAACGTTATTGAAATTTCTTCGAACAGTCACGAAGCTTTCAAATTTGAAGCTGAGGTTAAGATGTCATTCACTCACAGTTCTCCCGGCCTACACGGCTACGAGTTGGTGTTGTACAAACAGATTGACAACGAGACCGGTACATGGGAAGAAGTGACCGATGTGGAAGACTTCAAAACTATCTCAGGTAGGAGGGAAAGCCTTTAAATTTGTTCATGTTAAATTACAGATAAACAAACTTGATGCATCGTTGAGTGTGTTGGTCGAACATGAATGGATCTGCGAGAAAATCTGCCTCCAGGAATGTCTTAACAGAGGGTAGCAAAGGGGTGGGGTAAAGGGGGGGGGGGGTCTGATCCCATTTCACGCGTCACGCATAATAAGGGAAAACTTCAAATCTCTCTTCTTGTGTACCAAGTTTCAGGGAAATCTTGAGGTTTTCACGAAATGAAAGAAAAACAAAAAAACGGAATACGCGTATTTTAAGAGACAAGTCACGCCTCACGTTGGTTCATAATTTCGCGAATCACGCTCGCCTTTTTCTGTGAAATTCAAGTGTTGCATATCGATTTTGTCCCTAAGCACAAGTCACGTTTAAATCCTTTGCCTCCCTCTGAACGTAGCTCATGAGTATGCTAGATGATTTTAAAAAGGTTGCTGGCTGCCACTAGTGAAGCCAAATATTGTTTGACTGGTAACAGTCAAAGTTGGTGTAGTTAGCCCTAAGGTGAACACGGAATGAATATTTACGCTCTAAAATATTATGAAGACATTTTTCAGAGCGACTCTTAATAATGGTGAGCCATTAAGAAAGAATTCGATGGGTAGTTTTCCTTGTATTGCTTGGTTAGGACTCTTCTGGATCGTTCAGCCAGGTTTACACTAAAATTAGCTCTCTGTTAACCTTGTCCTAAGACTAAGCTTATTTACACCAGGTCTAGCCCAAATCATGGTATTACACAATCAGTGGGCCTCAGGTTTTGTCTATAAGAGGGTTGACTTGGTTAGACAAATGTCCTTCCACTGTTGGCTTCCGGCCCTCTTGACACTGTTCACAAAAATGAATGCCCAGATAAAAGGTTTAGCTGAGTTAACGATTGCTTAAGACGCGGTTTTGTTGAACTACGGCTAAACTTTGTTTAAATAATAAGACCTTATTGTACGCACTTGTAAGCCTCTGAGAATTCTTATTAACTCGCCCCCATTTATTCTTTCACTAGATGCCTAAAAATTAACTTAATCTATAATATATTTGTTCTTTGTTTTATTGATATAGATTTTGAAGAAGAATATCAATCTAGCCAAGATATTCCCAATTTACACTTTCCTATTGTGCAAGCGGATATAACAGAATGTGCCACATATGCTGTTGTGAGTCGTCTCCATCTTTCCCCTGAATTCACGATCACATCATATGGTGGTTCCTTTTTCATGCCTGAATATCCAAGTATAGGTATTACTATCCCGAAAAAGGCTGTTACTTCGAAAACAAGGATTCCTCTTCGAATGAAGGTACAGAATTTTCCTGCAATATAACAGATGCGAGGGAAATCTAGTGTCATTACAGTAAATGTTCGTGATTGTTTATCCTAAAGAACCAGTGGTGGAAGCGTCGAGTCGTTTGACAAGCGAAGTCCCAATCGACAAGATTTGGTAAACCTTGGGATT